TATCCTCCATAAAATGAGCACGTTTTTTTGCCTTCCTTTTGAATGCTTCAGGGACTGAAACCAAGTGGCAGGTCCCAGAAACAGCATCTTGCAAAGGAGAAGTTTAGGTATGTGCCGGAATTGTGCTTCTGCATTAGAAGTAGAAAAATTATTGCCACCCGTTCCAGAATGCACCCACCTTCTTTTAGGTAGTAGATTAAATGGTTCCATATGCATGTTCTTTCAGTTTTTCCAGAGTCATACCTACATGAGGAGAATCTTCCGTCTTTTCTCTCCCTGAAGTAGGTGGGACCCTGGCTGTTGTTTCTTCTGCTTACACTGCTAAAGCAATGATCCTTGCATTGACTGAAATCATAATTATCTACATAGTCACAGGGCATCTATTGGAAATATATTCATTACAGCAATACTGTATTCTGTAGGGGGAATTCACTGTTTAATCTCCCTGCTCCTTCATCTAAAACCATATGACATGGACAACTCAAGTTTTACCTGTACTGAGAGGTGGGTATCATCTCCTGGCAGGAACATTTTATTCCCCTTTTTTTTCCATTCAATATGTGGCATAGGATAGGCTGACACCTCACAGCCAAAAATGACATCATTGCCTGTGTAATTCTGGGCGTCCTGAGGTGGCATAGAAATAACAGGAGCTGCAAGGAACCGACAGCACAGTGCTTTAGGAGGCAGTGAGCAAAGAACAACACAAACACAAAAACATACAAACATTAATTCCTACTTTACATTATAAAACCAGTTTACCTTTTGCCATCTCACACTTTATGAAGAGCTGCAAGATTCCAAGCAGCTTTTAAAGCTCAGGACACCTTGTGTCCCCTTACTGGGTGAACAGGGTTTTCAAAAACTCTAATTTGAAAGGTCCTGTCTGTCCTTGCTCTTGCACATGATCATGCAACTTAAGCTGAAATCAAAAGTTTCATTCGTGTCCTGTGAACTGTTACAACGGACTAGACTGAAGGCCCCACAGTCAAGCAGCCAGTACTCAGCAAGACCTTCAGAGGAAAGCACAAGAAATTCTGTAGCAGTCAATCACGCAGTAACTTCATTGTACATGATAGTTCTTCTGAATGTCTGTAACATTTTGGCTAGCTTAAAAGCTAAAATACTGAGATTGCTGGCTTGTCAGACTGTGTTTCCTGACTACATCATTGCCTTGAACTTGCTAAGATCTTGTCCCCCTTTGTTACCCACGGGACTCATTGCAGCAAGTTACAGAATAACAGTATTAATATATTCCACATTTATCCAAAATTGATATCAATTTCATCTGATGTTCTTGTTACGAGACAAGGAATAAAAGGGATTGAAATCCATTTATTTTTGTAAGGTAAAGCTGACGTTAACCACGAGAGGGAGCCAGTCCAGGGATTTGAAGACATTGAAAAAATAAACTCTCATCTGATGTATTCGTACATCATTTACACATCCCTCTATAAGCATGTATGAATATACTAAATGTTAACAGGAGATGATGATACTTAGGAGAAGAGAGCAAAATAACAATTACTGTTATCACAGCTCTCCTATTTTGGAGATCTCTGCTTTTTTTTCCTGACCTATTCGTCGTCAGCAAGAAATGTTTTTCCTTCTAAAGTCTGTTTTCTTTCTATCTCCATACCAGTGTTTAAAAATTAATATGTTTTCTGGGCCATTAGATTTGTTATTTATTATTTAATTATGTAATTATTGCTTTGATTTTTGTACAGATCCCAGATGCTTGGAAATAGAAGCTTACGGTAAATGTTTTTTTACTTGCAATATTTGAATCATTATGTACAGTGTTTATGCTTCAGCATTTGAAATTGTAACAGCCTGTTCCAGGTATTGGAGCAAAGTTTCTAATGCATTTGTCAGTTTTTCAGAATTATCTGTGCAGAAAATATCAAATCCATCCTGAGTAAAATTAATTGCAGACAAATTATACAGCAAAGTATCAATTTCCACATTGATGAATGACTCATTAAACAGTCCTGCTACTTTTCCGAAGTAAGATTCTCAAACTAGGATACTTACATCCTTAAACGTTCATTCTTTCATGAGAACTGTATGTTGTTTCAAAAATCTTGTCTTCAAATCAGCATTAACTGAATATTTTGGTTGAGAAATTTTTTACCTATGAAGTTATCACATAGGGTCTGATATTAAAATATAATTTGAAATATTAAAACTCAATGCAGCCACATTTCTTTTAGTCATACGTGTGTTATAGTTAAGCTTAAAGTTAAGTGTAAAAAAGCAACCAAATGTCTATGTTGACTCACATGAGTTCTTTAAATTACTTCTGTAGAGAGACAGCAGGAAAACCTTTTTAAATAGGCAGATGCTGCTTGGCTGGTGGTTTTGTTCTCATGCTAACACAGATGTCTTGCGCATACACCAACAACACTGAACTATTGCCAAGAACTATCCTGCTTATGTGACTGTCCACAGACACAGCTCAGCTGTGCAAGGCTGAGGGCTCTGGCTTCAGCGTGCCATGTATATGTACCCTTAGCCTCAAAGGTGTCAGGGTCTGAATTACAGATATACATTATAGCTGTTCCCCTAGGAGAAATTTGTCTGGCACTGTCTCCATTCACCAAGATGAATTCCGCACTGGAAATACTCCTTCTTCCATGAACTGTAAGGAGAATACCATGACAGCTTGGAATGCCAAGGTATGCTCAGTGCCACCCAGGTGGGCACTTCTATAGAGGTAGTTAAGGCTTTGCTGGACTGGGGCTGACCAGGACTAGCAACATGTGAGATCAAACTCGTAGCAAGTAGGAAGAACCACAGTTTTGATCCAACCAAACTGCTTTTTCTGTATCTGAACACACAATAAATACCTGCATTACTGACTCAACCTTGAAGTGCATCCAGAAATAAAATAGTATACACTTCAAACCACCATTTTACTGTATTTTACAGAAGAAAATTGAAGTAGCGAGATCTCATTTTAACGTAAATTTCCAAAGTTTGGGTTTGAGTGGTTCAGATTTTGTGTTCAGCCAAATTTTCCCATGCATATCTGCGTGCACCTTTTTTGTATAACTGTGTCTTTAGAAACAGATCTTTACTGTTACGATAACCTGTCATTTTGATTCCTGGAGTATATGCGCAGTAGTTGCTCCTTTCCTTTGATAGTCCTCATTGTGAATTATCCTCATATGTTACAGAAGAAGTGGATCAGAAGCCAGGAAATGTCAAAATACTGCTTCTCCTTTCACCAACAACATTAACCCAGTATCACCCCAAACTAATCAATTAGATATTTCTTTTTCCCTTAACTCATTTTTTTCTAATCTATGTCTGATTTGATGAAAATGGCAGAAAATTTCATGGCTTGCTTATTTGGTTTTTAATCTCAAATTTATATTTAAAATAATCTATGTGACACAGCTAAATATAAAGAGAATCACTACTAAATTGTTCTGTTGCATCATTAAATCATCAGCAAGAGAGGTTTGAATGTGAATGGGGATGAATTAAGTGTGGACAATCTGCATATAATCAATGTAACCTTGGTAAATTATTAGATAAACTGATCAAAACTAGCTTTCAGGAAAAGAAAGGCTTTTCCACTGTTGCTTTAGGGAGCTGGGCCTTTTTCTTCTCATTTTTCTGGTGATGCACAGAAGATAAAAGGCTATACTCTTGTGATGAAAGGAGTTTATTGTTATTTATTTATTCATTGCTTGCTGTATACAATTAATCCATTTGGCATCAATTGGAAACAGCAGATGCTTTGAAGGAGAAATAACAAAACAAAGTACTTTGAGTTCAGCAAAGGTTGTATTTATAGCTTGGTACCAAACCCCACAGTGTTCAGTGTTTGTTTCTCATGCAAATTGGAGTCAGCAGAAAGCGAGTGCTGCGGCAAGACTGCTGCTTTTAGAGCCAGACTCCCTATTGCCTTTTGTCATAAGTTGCAGTCATGAAAAAACAGCCTAAATCATGGAGCACTTTCACATGCCTACTGAGCTGCTTCAGATAGCTGCCTTGCCAAAGAGGGGGCTTACTGGCAGACTCATAGAGGTGCCCAGTGGTAGCATCCGTGTGTCCTGCTGCTTGCTAAAAGGCCCAGGCTCCTTGCAGGATCTAAAAGAGAATCTACAACCCAGCATCATCAGCTGCTGCTCAGAGAGGTTGAGAAGAGAGGAACAAGAGGGGCACTTGTGCCCTTACTGGGCAAGGCCAGCACCCACCTCAGGCACTCTGCTCTAGCAGGGCACAGACACTGACCTTGGCAGGAACCAAGGAGGTGGACCCCTGTTTTTCTTAACTAAACTCTGCACAGCACTGACATGGCTATGAACTTTCCACCAGGCTTCTGTGCATTTCAGTAAGCTGAGCAATCTTGGGAAATTTCTCTGCATTCCCAGCGAGAGAGTACAGCCTTTCTGGGAAGCCAGGGAAGCAGTGGGAAAGCCTTGGGAGTGATTCCTGCATGCAAAGCAGGTGAGCTCATTCCTCCTCTATGTGCAGTGTTATTCACCTCAGGGGTGACTGCAAGGCCTGGTGAATGACAACATCAGCAATTAAAAGTGGTAGTACTTCCAAATTAAAGATTTTTATACATGGCCAGTTCTGTTTAATTAATTACAGCAGAACATTGCTTTAAGCCTGTATGCCTGAACAGCTAGTCTGCTGCAGGGTTACCATCACTTGCTACTAGAGTGGCCCTTCTAACTGAAATCTGCCTAAAGGGGTTATGCCACAAGAACTAGTCCTGTTCTAACCCCAAATAAGAACATCTGCTTGAGAGCTAATAGGCTTTCAGTCATATTGTGGTCTGGTATGTATTAAGTTTTCTGAATGTCCCTTTACTGACAAGCCTCATTTCCCAACTTAATACCCTAACGGCAAATTCCTTATTGTATTGATGCTTGATTCTTTATTGTATGGTTCTCTTGCAACTAGAGAAAGAGGAAAGAAAACTGGTATTAGCTGTTCATCACTTTTCCTTTTAAGCATTCAATAGCCAGTGTTCAATCAGTATCAAAGCACGGCATACAGTCTAAATTGGAGGCAACAGATTGCTAGTGAGGAGTGGGTAAAAAGTACCCGACTTGCTCTCATATGTAGACCTTTGCCAGAGATGCAATTTCATATTCCCAGAACTGTGACCCATTTGTGACCCAGAGACCTCTCCTACTTCCTTCATTTAAGAAAATATTCTATTAACTTGTTAAAAAAGAATAATTTCTCATTCAGAAAACAAAAGCCTATTCAACTTTTTCATTTTATATTCATGTGACTTAGGTGAAAGGTACCCAGGAGTAAAGACTTGTAATAATGTGAAGAATGAGAACAGTATATGAGCAAGAGGCAGGATTCCCCAGTACAACCCTGCTAAGAATCCTTCCACTAACAATCATTACGGACAACTGTCCATGCTCTGTAACTGTCTTTAGGGAAATAGTTTCAGTCTGCTTTTGTTCTTCTATTTGGATTTTTATTTCATGGGTTAGCTAGATTTTACAATGATTCCAAAACTGTATTATCTTGGACTTCTGGCAAAAAATAAGAAAAAAACACAGACGCACATATGCACCCTACCACCACCTCCCACCTCCAATTCTGGAAAGTCTGTACTGGTAAATATAGTACATTGTCTCAGTTGTACATCAAGTTGCAGTTCCTTAATAGTGATACAGCATTTTCTGCCAGTATATGAAGGGGGCCTATAAGCATGCAGGGGAGGGACTCTTCGTTAGGGACTGTAGTGGTAGGACAAGGGGTAACAGGTTCAAACTGAAACAGGGGAAGTTTAGATTAGATATAAGGAAGAAGTTCTATACAGTGAGGGTGGTGAGGCACTGGAGTGGGTTGCCCAAGGAAGTTGTGAATGCTCCATCCCTGGCAGTGTTCAAGGCCAGGTTGGATGGAGTCTTGGGTGACATAGTTTAGTACAAGGTGTCCCTGCCCACAGCAGAGAGGTTGGAACTAGATGATCTTAAAGTCCTTTCCAACCATAAGTATTCTATGATTCTATGATTCTTTGTAAGAACAACAGACCTATTAATTAAGCCTCATCTTCTATTGTCTCTACACTGCTTATCATATGTACACACAAGTGGGTGCACTCTGCATACACATATATATATATGTACACACATACATAAATTTATGTGTGTGTATGTGTATATAAATGAATAAGGTATGCCTTGCTGTCACCACTTCAATATCAGGTCAGTCCTCATACAGTTATTTGTCCAGTCCTCCTAGACTATCCTATCTGCTTCCCTCTTCCCAACTACACATTCTTGTAGAAAATACCTCATACTCATTCAGAGCAGAACTAGTCTGTAGATTGGTGCCTTATTAGTCACCATGTGGTTTAATCCACTAGTCGAATACAGTGTCTAGTAACATACAAAATTAAGTACCAGCTGCTGAACAAAAAAAAGTACTATTATAACAAAATAATGACAATAAGAAAAATACAGAATTAGTTTAATAAAGTTAGACTAGAGCATCTAGTACATATTTGAAAATAAGAGCAAGATCATTTTTCAGTTTAGAAGTGCCTCTGTACATATTACCTGATTCACATGGCCCTTTATGTTTCATGCTGATATTTCTTTTCGTAGCATAAGCCTTGTTGAATTGACAGATGTTCTCGTAGGTTTTCCCTTCGGGTCCACAGATGCTTTCTTGAGACTTGCACACACACTGGGGTTCAGGGACTTCCGTGAACCTCGCTTCATCAGCATCCAGCCTGCACTCGAGGTTGTCCCCACATTGCCCGTAAAAATGATTGCCCTGGTCCAGGTCGCAGATCTGACCTTCCACATTCCCACACTCAGGACAGCAGCCGCAACGGTCCAATACAGTCCCAGCTGGACAGTCTTTAGGCTCAGAGCAAAGTGCCAAATTGCATTTTCCACAACTGTCTGCTTCCCTTAACAGCCTCCACCAGCCTCGGTGGTACAAGGCAGGGAAACTCTGAGAAAGCTGCACCAGTAATACCAGCACTGCTGTAACCACTGTGTGCTTCATCTTGAGAATGTAACGATCAAGCAGAAAAGGTCCTTGGAGTAAAGCCAGGGGCAGAAAAAAAAGAAAAAGGGGAAAAAAAAAAGAGCAAGCTAGTGAGAGAAAAACATTACAATCTTTTTTTTTTTTTGTTTTAGAATATAAATTTTACTGCAACCACAGGCTCTAAGAAGAAATTAGTATCAGATTCCTAATCTGGAACTGATAACCGCATGCAAACCCACTGGCTTTTCTCTAATGCAGTTTGGAATGTGACTATTGCTTGCACAGAAACCATACTGCCCCTTCTGACAGCTGAGTCGAAGCTCTCTGAAAAGCTGTCTGCTCAGTGTCTCCTTGAGCCAAATTTGCAGAACATTGCTCTATTGAAACCATGTTATATTGCAGCTATTGTAGAAAGGGAAACAGGGTAAATAAGTGTAAAATGAAGAAATGAAGTGCTATGAGCTTTTCTCCTCTCCCCCATCAGCTGAAAAAGTTACAGGAAGATAGATGCATATAGTAGGACCAAAGTTAGCAGTACCCTTGAGGTGAGCCTGTGTTTTGGAGACAGGAACAAGGTTGAACACCAAATTTCATCCATTAATGATCATAGCTAGGAGGTTCTGAATTAAAAATTTACTTACAGGCTCTTTATAAGCAAGGGACAATCCAAGACAGCTGGCATTGACCTTAAACTCTTGCATTTAAGATGAGAGATGCTTAGACCCTTGAAAGAATCCATCTCTAATTTCTTTTCACTGTTTATGGGTGTCTAGTTTGCAACCCAGAGTAACATGGTCCACATTTGGCTCTAAGGACTAAGTGCAAAAGGTTTAGAACATAAAGATGAGCCAGCTTTTCAGAGCACTTTTCTGCCTTCATTTCTTAAGATGTGCTTATATTGTGAGTTATGGAGGAGGATGAAAGAGGTAACTCTGAGATCTCTTTTTTTCCCCACTTTTTCTGTGCATAAATTTCTGCTGGTTCAGGGAGACGAGTTTGCAGGGTCATTTCTCACCAGGTGTTGCACCTTTCTTTGTACATCTCAGGATTTAGGAAGCTCACACCATAAAACTCCCCTCCCTTTCACTGCTGATGAGAGTTCTAGTCTATAGTCCATAGGCTGCTGTTGCCAGTGTTCAGGTGCAGCTCAGCAGAGATGCATCTTTCTGTCTGTTGGAGGTAAAAGTGAAGCATAGTGGACTTGGAGACCCTGCAAATATGGGTCAATGCCATGAGTCAAAGATGATCACTCCCTACAAATGGAACATCTCTGTGTGGTAGCTTAAAATAACTCTTAAGTGCATCACATTTTCAAGATACACACATAAGACTAAGACACTGTTAACAAGATGAAATGAAAGAGAAATCATGCTCTTGCCTGCTTGTCCTGAAATCTTCCACAAGGGGCTTTTTCAACTCTTTATATTCATGGTGCTTAGATCCTTACAAAAGCCCAGTGAAGGATGCATTTTGTTGCACCAGCCTTACATCCTCTGGGCACATCCACAGAGGGAAATGTTTTGGGACGTATGTTTACTTTCCATCCCAAACGTATCCATGGTTTTTCCCAAGTTCAGCTTCATGCCTTTTACACCAATTGAGATTACCTCTTGCTTGGAGTGAAGTAGCAGGCTGCTTCAAAATCAGTTCTTTCTCCCAGTCTGCATATAATGCGATTTCCCCCCTGGCCTGCATTGGTGGACCACTTCGTAAGGCCAGCCTGAAGAGACCTACAGGGCACTGCTTATCTCTGTGTGATGGCTGGGCTAATTCATATTCTGTAGTGCATATTCTTGCTTTGAACACAGAATCAGACTGTAAAGAAGTAAATTATTTGTGGAATTGATGCTTTTAACATTGAGAGTTGTGGGGGAAAAAAGTAACCACAGAATTTAATGGGAAATCAATTTTTTTGTCCCACCTTCTTATTCTGTTCAATGTGTTATATTTTGTACTTCCTCACCAAATCCTAATTGGACATTTAGTTTTGCATTATAGGGTTTACTTATCACTGTCTATTTTATTATTTGTTCTTACAGTTGTAGGGGATGAGTATCTATAGGAAAAGGATTTGCTGAGGCTCATACAAAGTAAAAAACAACCATAATGGTGAAACCATGTGTACAAAGTGGAGCCAAAGCAAGGGAGAGAGGCTGTAGGACACCACTGCCCCTATAAGGCTGAGTTTTGCCTGTTGTCTTCTAGGAAACGTCATTTGAGGGTTGTAAACCAGAAGTATACAAGGAAGTACCTTCTGTGTCCTGAGGAAACCCATCACAAATATCCTAGAAAGCATTTCTGGCACTTACCTGACTAATGTAATCTGAGTTCTTGGTGGGTTCAGCCTCTAAATTATGTCTAAACAGCTGCCCCTTAGCAGGCAGTCTGCAGCTGGAGGAGATTTAGCCACTGATTTCTGAGCTCACCTGAAACAAAACGGAACAAATTGGGGTGGGGAGAGGTTAATGCCCTGTGGTATGACATGGAGATAGCTGTCTAAACTTAGCAAGCCATTCTGTGACAAGCTGAGAAGAGGATTACTGTACCTTTCCACACTGGATGGATGTATGGCAGGGTTAGAGCTAGGGGGATAAAGAGGGAGCAATGAAAGAGAGCGGGATCTGCTGCTGGGGTAAAACCAGCAGATCTAAAGGCATAGTCCCATCTGGTTCAGTAGTAAAATACACATTGTTTCAGTGTCTCTCTAACACCTGAAGGTTGTTTTGGTGGGTTTGGCAGAAATCACATATCTTGAATTATCTTAACCCTAAATATCTCCCAGAACCATACACAAGCAGCAATGGATTAGTATCACTGGTTGAACTGCAAGACAGGCACCAAAGCACTGTCTGATTTTCAAACACCATCCCCCAAATGCTGCCTGGAAAGCTGAGGAGCAGTGCAGATGAAGCCTCCACCACCCCTCAAGGAAGGGAGGAGGTAAGCAGCTGCAGTGCATGAGGGGAGCTTTCTACCACCACTTGTGAAATAACATTTTGGTGAATAATTTCTCTAACAGGCAGGTTGAACAGCATCAGTGTACCCTCATTCTCATCAGGCAGGGTAGTGTTGGCTATGCAGCAATTTTCCTGGCTTTTTCTGGATATTTCCATATGGCATGATCAGCACAAGCAGTTCTGTCACTATCCTGTAGAAGAACTGGTACCCAAGGTGGATGATGGGCAGTGATGGGGACATGGCAAAATGGTCCAGTACTTCTGTACTTCGGACCACATCTTTCACCAGGACATGGGCAGTGTCTTGCAGAATAATTCCTGTAAGTGAATTGTTAAGGAAATTGTATTCCTGTTCATTTCCTGCCTCCTTCTTGGGGGCCAGCATTATGCTAAGCTGCTGACTTGTATTGCATTGTTTTACTTTGCATGGTAATAAGTAAGGTATCTGGCTGATGCAAGTTGAAATCCTATTGCTAGGGATTCCAGAGGTACTGCTCTTTCGGACAAAATGTGGCTCAGCTCTTCATTCTGTTTTTATTTGTGTCAATATTTGCATGAAGTCTGCTCCTGCCAGACTTGCAGATCTGGTTCTTACACAGACACACACAGGAGCCCTGTGATGAATAGTGGCAGACCGCAGAAAACTTTGGAATGACCCTTCTACCTTCTCTGTCCTGCGATGGTTCCTCTCCTTGAACAGGTAAAGGTTGGAAACTACAGTGCTCTGTCTCTTAGGTTGCATTGAGTACCTATTCTTGAGGTCCTTTTAGAGAGAGCAAATCTTGGCTGACTCAGCATGTTTCCATCCAAGAAACTTTATACTTGTATTAGGTGCACAAAAGAAGCATTAAAGAAAATTAATGTTTGGTCTGTTATACCAGGCAGTAGTAGACTAGAGGTGGCTGTGCCTGCTGGGTATGTGCATTACCCGATACTGAGCCCATCTCCTAGGATAACATTGTCCACACAGTATCCAGAATTGAGCTTTATTTGAAGTGCTCAGCTCACCTGAAAACGGTATTTGGTTCTGAAGAAATAAGTGGCAAATGTTGGAGATTAATGACAGATGAAGCAAAAATGGTTGGATGCCACTCTCAGGTTCTTAACAGAACTGCTGACCGGCAGCAACGCAGGCATGGGCAGTCCTGGCATAGCCAAACACTGCCTTTGTTGGTGTCCATCCTGTTTGCTGACACATTGCTTTCATGACCCTCATCATTAGTGCCGCAAGCACATGAAGTATAAGTTAATTCTACTGTAACATGATTATTAAATCCATTAATCAAAGACAGGAGATCCGTAATTAACTTATTCTCCAGCATCAAGTAAATGATTCTGCTGTGAGCTTTAAGAAAGCAATTGTTCACTAATATGCAAAATACAGTGGGGCTGTTAGACTAGAAGGCTCTGTAATTGCATAATTAAATTATAAATTTTGCATATTTTAATAATATATTTTAATTATTTTCTTTGAAAAGTGAAAATGTAGGGTTTTGGTTTTTTTTATGGTTTACATGTAATTTACTAAAAATGGGGGGGAGAAGGGAAATTTAATGTCCGTCCCCTACAAGTTGACTGTTCTCATGTAAGGCTTTGGCGAGGCTTCTGATGACTCGGCCTGGACCTGTCTCCAACAGTGACTGACTACAGATCTCCCCTGTATCACAGTTCAGCATCACTGTTGTTGGTGACTGTAGGCATTCAAATTTTAACTTGCAAAGCTAGCACTGCTCTAGTACTAAATGCTTGAGTTTTGTCTAATATAGGCTTTCTGATACCTCTTTACACAAATAAGTCTGGAAATCACTTTTCACAGGCTAGTGTTTCCCTCCAAGGGCCCAGATATTTCAAGGGTTCTTTTCAAGCCTGCTTCACATCTCTGCTATCCTTTAAGTAGACCACGTTTCTGAAAGCCTTTGTCCAGAAACACTGGATAAAAGTAGTTTTGTCCAGAAACACTGGATAAATTAGTTTTATCCAGAAACACTCAAGCTTCCTGTTTCATAATAGGAAGATGATACTAGAAACATTTAGGTAGTCAAACATTTCTCTGAAGCCATTCTTTTGAGAGGTGAGACTTACAGTGAGGAGACTTGCACAGAAGGTGTCATGAGGGCATTTCCCCCGTGTGTCCTGACCACATTTCCAGCCTGGCAAACCTTAGCTGCTCATTTGAACCTTTCTGTATGCACTTTAATCATAAGTACAATATAGAAGCAATAGTCAGCATAATTCTCCTTCCTCTTGAGGAAGGGGGGGGGCACTAAGGTTTGTCCCTGTTCTGCCTTAGAGAGCACTAATGCAAAAGCATCCCCATTTTCTGCACAAACCACAGGTCTCATTTTCAGGTGTCATGTTCTAGTGCAGCAGCCTCTGCAGTTTAATAGAGCAGAAAGGGCTG